GAACAGCATACACGAAGAGACACAAGTTGCTGGGATTGTGTACTGAAATATCTGCACAGAATATGGGCTGGTCCTGTCATTCCAGATAGGTGATACCACAAAGGGTATTTGAAAATGAGAGGGCTAAGATCCTGTGGGACTTCCAGATCCAGGCAGCCAAACAACCTGACATTGTGGTGGTAGACAAGGAACAGAAGACTGGAGAGCTGGTTGATGTAGCAATATCCAGTGACTATAACGTGAAGAAGAAGGAACATGAGAAGGTGGAAAAATAGCAAGGACTGCAAGAGGAGCTAGAAAGATGTGAAAAGTAAAGGCAATAGTAGTCCCAGTTGTGATAGGAACACTCAGAGTCATAATCCCTAAGTTGGGATAGTTGCTTCAGTAGATCTCAGATGAGACATCTGAGATGAACTGCACAGAACCCTCAAATTCCCAAATCTTCTGGTAGAGGAACACCGTATGACAAATATATGAAAATAATAATAATAATAAAAAAAAAAAATATATATATATATATATATATGTTAAGGCGGAACCTGTAGTTGTGGGAGGGGTTAAGCGCCCTGTTTATACCCAGACCTACCTCTAATCAGGGCCGAGATTGACCCAGACTCCACTGCGTCCATTTCCTGTTCCAGTCCAGCAGAAACCTCTAATCAACAAGGAAACTCCCATTGCACGCAGCCAGCACCATCCCGACGACTGGAGTGTCCCCCTTCCCGACGGCATTCAGCCAGCCGCAGTCAGGTCCTGCACTAGGACCACGAGTAATTTCGGGCAGTTTCCGTGCTTCCGCCAGCTCATTGCCACCGTCACTTCCAGGCCACAATCACTACCGGTCACGTGAGTACCCATCACACGCCTCCTTCCGGGTCGCTCCTTGACTCCGGACACACATTCCAACTGTCAGGGGAGTAGAGGGGCTGGCAAGCACACACAAGTGCCAAATGCCAACCCCTCCCAAGCCTTCCTTCCAGGTCACTCCTTAACTCCGGACACACAGTCCACCTGTCAGGGGAGCGGAGGGGCTGGCAAGCACACACAAGTGTCAAATGCCAAACCCCCCCCCCCACACACACATAAGTTCTGTACACATCGACCACACAGTCCACCAATCAGGGGTGCGTAGAGGACGGCAAGCACACACTCACAAGTGCCGAATGCCAAGCCCCCCCTCCCCCTGGTCTTCACAAACTCACGGCTACAGACTCCCACTAGCTCATGAGTCAAATTGCACTTAGTGCATGTTTCCTTTCCAGTCATTTGTTACGATAACCACTTTCCTGTTCTAAATTACATCTACAATAAATATATCAACGTGGCAATTTTAAAGTATGCACAATTACGTTTTTTCTCCTGCTCTAATAAATCAGCCATCACTCCCATCAGCCACAGCCAATCTCAAAATTAAATAATATAATTATATACAACCACAACAATATATTCAAAGTCTGGGGGAGGAGAGGGAGGGAGAGAGGGGGATGGGAGAGAAGTTCGTTATTAAAGGGACCACACAAAAAAATAAATGTTCCCCATACGTGTATTTTATCTAGGCAATCCCTAACATAGGATACCAAATCACTACCATAAATACATAGGTAAGTAAGAGAAGAATCTTGTCAATGCAATAACAATACTCACTCTAATTATCACTTAGGCTTTCCGGGACAACGCATAGTCCGCAAACTTCAACCCCGTATCCACCGGACAAGTTTCGTGCAGGTAATACATCCCCACACGGCCACACTTACGTACGTCAGAGAAAAAAAAATTACTGTTCCTCTTCGTAGGTCTCTAAGCCATCTCAGGCAATCCATGTGCCATAACAGTCTGGAAAACATTAATTCCTTCCCATAGGTCAAGGCAATCGCGCAAACTCGCTAACCACAAGTAAGAATCCTGTTTCTTTTCCCATCTATTTCTCCCATTAAGTAATCACCCTGTCAGACGCGCACCTGACAGACCAACAGGTTACAAGGCCAACACAATGGCCCCATTTCAATCATGGTCCCTAACCACGTCCACATTCAGTGAATAAATCCATCAAACTCGCCACCGAGGCACGACACCCCCACATCGCTCCATAGTTCACTCTACGTCGCACATCATCATGCTTATTCGGCCCTCACAAACAAAGACCGCTTCGCCCACCGGCATCACGGGCAAACTCACCATAGACACGTACGAGCACCCCAATCACTCCTCCATTACAAGGAGTTTCACTCCCTGCAAAAAACGTAAACAACTCTCCCAATAATTCTCTTCCCCCAACTCATGTACTTACTCATGTTATAGAATGTTACATGCTTCGGACATAGCCGAGGATGTCTCCCTACCCAGCACCCCAGCCAGACTCTCCAGCCCAACCAGACCAAGTACCCCAGTGGATAATGTAGAGACGGCTTGTCCAGCGTCCCTACACTCCTGGACCATACCCAAAATTGCAGCTGAACTCAAGAGACAAGGCATACCATACCCAGCCACTGCCCGCAAAGCGGAACTACACCGCCTCCTGAACGCTAACCCCGACACCCCGCGACCAGGCACCAGCACACAGGCAATCGACGGAAGCACGCCTGGACTTCAGGCCACAATCTCCGCTCTTCTTTCTTCAATTAACCTCATCAATGAGAGACTGGAGAAACTTGAAAATCAAGTGGCCATAATCACCCCAGCAGCTATCCCCTCCATGCTACCACAGACTTTGCCTAACCCGGGTAACAGCACAATTTCCAACCTAACACGTACACCCACACACATCATCACGCCTGCCCACTTAGTTCCCCAGGCTACTAAGAAATACATTTTAGAAAGGAAAGATGTCAACCTGGTATCACTCCTCATAGCATCCCAAGACTTGGTAGAAAACAAGGCTTACTGCTATAGGGAGGTATCTGTTGTACTCAAGGCTAGGGACCCCAGGCTTAACAAGAAGCTGGCCATCCCTGATTTTGTGATAGCTTTTGGCTTATACAGGGACGTCATCTGTTCTGTCTTCCCTCAACGCAGAGAGGAGCTGGATCTTTACCTCCACAAATTGGTGGACCTAGGCAACAAGTACGGAGGCTACTCTTTCTATGATTATCATAGGTCATTCTTGGCGAAGGCGGCAGCAGCGCTGGTTCAGTTTAATATACGCTCAGACTGGAGCCAACTAGATACGGAACTGTTCTGCCGCCACTTTGCCGCCCTCAAGCCTCCGTCTTGTGCCATTTGCACATCAACTGCACATTCCACCAATCTGTGCCCCTCTGAACTGAGCCAACCCTCCACTAGCCACACAGAGCCCACCCCCAAATCAGACAGGGTAATCAAGGACAAACTGGGCAGACCCATCATCTTCCTCGGTAAAGCACAGATGTGCAATATGTGGGGATATTTATGGGATAATAATAGTAACAGTGAGAATTGCCCACTAATTCAATTCTCAGATCCCAAATATCGTTATCGTGTTAAGTGAAATGTATACCATATAAATAATATCACAATGTTATAAAAATAGATTTTATTTTATAATAACAAATTAATTAATAATAATTTGTAACATGCGTGACAATAATCAATGAATATCCAGTATAAAATGGTATGCAATACAAAGGAATGGCTACACGCGTTTCAATGGCTAAACAGCATTTCCTGTCAAGACTTTTGACGATTTATGAGGTATCCTTAACACAGACTGAAAGTGAAACTTTTCACAGCGAAGGGCCATAAAACCCTGGCTAACAGTTAGAATAACCCTTTCAATGCTGGCTAGACCTCCTAGGTAATTAAGATCTATTCCTATGTAATTTTAAATAAAATAACATTTAAACCAGTTCATTAGTCATTTCCTGGAACCATTCAATAAGAGAATCTACCATATTATATAAGCAGACTTTAATTTGTCTAAAAGATATCTTATCTTAATTTAGAGCAAATCAATACACCTGGATAAAAACAGCGGTATGCTAACACGTGATACTATCACATTAATATATAATTATTCTTAATTCCACCTGCAGAATGGAATGTTTATAACTATATATTCTTTAGTTAACTAAGATTTCTTAATATGGAAATCTGACCGTGCTTTATCCAGTCATATCATGCTATTAATACATTTTAATTAATTTAATTAATTAAATGAAACCAGTATAATTACCAGTTGAGTAGATATTTCATCCGATTGGTAGATAGTCTCAGGAACTTATTTGGATGTCTGTCTGCATTGAGTTATGATGAAAGGTGGTGTTGGTTAGAAAGTCAGTAAAATTCTAAGTGTTAGAGTTTTAAGAGTAGAGTGTTAGTCTCAGATGTTGTCCTGGGTTTCTCTGCATGTCGAGTTGGAGTCCCCAAACTTCCAATTCCTCTATCCTCTTTTTCCTCCTTTGCATCCCCCCTATCTTCCCTTTGTCCTAACTTTTAAAGGGCCAGACTCTCTGTACGTCATCAGTTGATAACCCAATAGAAGCATTAGAGGTGTGGTTATCTTCCAGATCGCAATTTAGTTATTTGATCTATAGAGGGCAGTCTTGTCCCACTAAACATACCTATCCAGGAAAGAGTTAACTTTTCCTGGTGGCTATTTTGACGTCATTTTGGCCTATCTTTATAGTGCCATAACTCAGATTTTCTGTCAGATAAAAACAGTTTCTTTAAGTTTTGTCCAGACTATGTGTCTGGCAAATCTGAGTTTTGACCCATAACTTACAATGGGACCTTATACATATAGACAGTCTATCCAACCCCCGTTCTTCTTATCACTTGGTTTGTTTATACTATGCATTCCTTTAGCTCTGGCAAAGTGGTTAGTTTTACAGAAAGAAATCTTGTGTCTTTTTGTTAACTTGAAAATAACAAAATGGAGTCTGGTCTGTTCAGAATGACTCAGAATATACACTTTTAATTTCTATCATAGCACAAGATGTCTGCCGATATAAATACCCTGACATAACCCCCCTTTAGTGCATTTCATAGCCAAAATTAATTTAGCTTATGAATAAGCACTATAGAAGTTACCAGACATATTGTGCAATCACATCATTTCTAACATAGTACATTGTTTTCATTTGAAAAATGTTTTTGGGAGTTACATATGGTATGGTCAATAAAAAGCAAATCTCCATACGTTCCGGATCAATTAAGAGAGGTATTGCGCTCCCCATCTCAAAGGCCAGATTTAATTGCATAGGCTCAATTGTTTCTCCATCCACATTGGCAAGCATCGCATGAACAATATCCTTGGATACAAAATACAGAGGTATGCGTCCCCCTGCCAATTCGATCATTCCAGTTTGCACTTCGTCAAGAAAAGCAAGTGTGTGGAACAATATTGGGTCATGCAGAAATAGAAGTTCACGCTTAAATAAGTCATGACTTTGGTGCAACTCAGTGGATTTGGCAATTAACTCCGAATGCAAATTTGTTGTAACAACTGTGTCTTCCACAATAGTTAACACGTCTTGGAGAAGTGTTCTTTGCTGGTTTATCACCTGATGAATATCGTTAATGTGTTGCTTTAGCGCATAGATTTCCATATCCAGCTTTTGGACAGTAATAGAGTTGGCTGCAGACATTCCATTTGCGACAACTGCACCGACAGTGGCACAAACTAATGCAACAATTATAGCGGTGAGGAACCTTTTGGGTCGGTTGCTCATCGGAATAGAACTGGATACAAATGGTTTCCGGGCTTGCTCCAAGATGTTTCGCACACGGTCCTGTGCTCTTTGGAGGTGCATCTGGTACCAAGTCTGTAACTCAGGAAGCTGCATCAATGAAATGTTGTATGCCTTCTCGATGGAAATCTTGGGGTCCAAGCTGACGAACACACGTTGGGTCAGGATCCTCTTCTCTGTCAAGATGAACCCTGGTGTCTCTTGAATCAGGATGCCGTAAGATGGTCCCATCTCTGCGATCGGGTCGGTCCGTAGCTCTTGGCACAGGAGCAGTATGATCCAGAAACACGCCACATCCTTCTTGGCCATCTTTCGACAGTCACGGATCAGGAATTCGTTTCAGACTTATCTACTAATGATTCAAGGTTTGTTAAGCATACAAACTTATAACAGTGTGACATCACTTGGCCTAAGACAACACATTATTACGAATCATCAACATATGTATTCTCTCTAATTCTATTTTTATAACTTCATCCCTCACTACATTTATTACTGACTCTTCAGCAATATGCCTATAGCAGTTAAAGAAGCTAATGACCTGCTTAGAAAATTTAGTTATTGGATGGCAAGGAAACGGTTAATGACATGAACGTACATGAGATCATGGCACATCACAACATTTCACATCATACGATACCACGTGAATAAAGCATTCATCCAGGTTAGTTGTTCACCCTTCTGCATCCAAATCCACACCTATAATCCTTAATTGAGATTTAGGATGACAAGCACGCAACTGGTTGTCATTCCACAAAATCACCATCCTTAGGAATTTTTATCTTATACGCTACTGGGGAAATTTTGTCAATGATGACATATGGCCCTTTCCAAGAAGGTAAAAATATATTTTCCTTGACTTGATTTCGCGCAAAGTTATACAGATAGACTTGATCTGTTATCTCATATTCCTTTTTCGTGGTTTTTAGATCGTAATAGGTCTTAACCCCTGTCGCTGCTTTTTCTAGATTCGTTTGGGCAAAAGCAAACGCATGCTGTAAATGCTTGCGCAAATCTTCGATATACTGATGCGTAGTGGCAGCATTGATCAAGTTATGATCCGAAGTACGATATAGTAAATGCTGTGGTAAAACCATCTTTCTTCCTGTCATCAATTCAAAAGGTGACAATTTGGTAGCAGTGCTAGGTGTAGCTCTAATCGCCATTAAAACTAGGGGCAATTTAATGTCCCAGTCTTTACCAGACTCCTTAACATACTTCTTCAGAATATTAACGATAGACTGGTTATATCGCTCTACCCCCCCGCTAGACGCAGCGCGGTATGCAATATGTAGCTTTCGTTTAACACCTAGAATGTTCCACATCTTAGCCATTACTTCGCTGGTAAAATGACTACCTCTGTCTGACTCAATTCTTTGAGGCAGACCGAACCTGGAAAAGACATGGTTAATCAACAAAGTGGCGCACACGGTACTCGTGTTCTCTTTACAAGGCAAACACTCTATCCACTTTGTGTACATACATGTAACGGTTAACATGTATTTGTTACCTCTTGAAGATCTTGTTACAGGACCTATAAAGTCAATTTGAATATCAGACCAGGGTAATGACACCCCCTCTTCTGAAGTGGTGCACGATGGGTTGGACCATGGGGTTGATATTGCGGACAAATCAAGCATCCCTGACAGTATGTCTTAACATCCCTTAACATGTGTGGCCAATATGCATAATCACGCAATATCTCATATGTGATCTTATCACCACGATGCCCAGATGTAGGTGCATCATGTGCGTGTTGGAGCATTAACCCTCTGTATACAGTTGGGACTACCCATTGTTGTATACCATGTTTAGAAGTTCTGATCAGTAACCCATCCATGATACTAAATTGGACTTTATATCTCATCAAGATTCGTAAATCTTCATCATCTTTGCAATCCACATCTGTGATGGGATTGGCAGTAGGGTCTTCTATATGTCTATAGAATATGCCTATGACGGGATCATTCTTTTGACTAGTAATCAGGTCCTCACTAGGAGCTTCTTGACTCCATTGCACGACGTTTAAGTCGGCATTATCACTAGCCTGTCGTCTAGTTATGGCTTCAACATGAATTGAACCCATAAGATCATCAATATTTAGGGTTTCACCATTGATGGCAGCTTGTTTTGCCAGTGAATCGGCTAAGTCATTACCATCCTTGTCAATACCTTCTATTTTAGAATGGCCTTTGGTTTTTTTCCAATATATGGTTAAACCATTTTCCTTAACCAGTTCATCAATTTTACAAAACAATTTCACATGTTTAACAGGTTTGTTATTGCTTTTCAGCATTTGGTTACGTTTCCAGCTAGGCAGATATTCGACGAAACTGTTGCGAACATAGTTGGAATCAGTTATAATAACAAATTCTTTGATACCATATTCTATTGCCATTTGAATGGTCTTATATACTGCACAGAGTTCGGCTATCTGACTGCTTTTGGGACCAATATTGTATCCTATAGATACATTGGGATAATCACCTATCCAGGCGATTCCGATACCTGCAACTAACTTCCGTTCAGCACCAACGACGTGGTGATATGAACAACCATCAATGTATACCCACGGTAGTGGTCGACAGTATTCCTCGTCATAAACTTTATAAGGAGATAGCAATTGCTCTTCTAGGAAGTCATCTCCGGTGTCATTATCATCCAGAGATGGAGCAGTACAGTCATGTAATTCTGCTAAACCTTGGGCAACTGGGCTTCTCTTATTATGTTTATAACGGACTTCTAGCGGCCATCCCTGTAAGGATAGAGTCCATGCAGTAATCCGACTGTTAGAGAGATTACCATCTCTAATTCTTTCACTCTGCAGATACTGTAGAGGTTGGTGAGCTATTTCTACAATTATTTTCTCACCTTGGATATAGCTACGAAAATTTTGTAGTGCCCAGACAGTCGACAATAACGCCTTCTCACACGTGTTGAATTTAACTTCAACAGGTGACAAAGTCTTGCTAGCATATGCAATAACTTTGTTTAAACTGTCCTGCTTCTGATACAGAACAGCACTTATGCTTAAATCGGTATAACCTGTCTCCAGATAGAAGGGTTTACCCCCCTCTGGGTATGCTAAACAGGGTGCCTGAGTGAGCTTCCTCCTCAGTTCACTTACCGCTTGGTCCTGAGGCTCCCCCCAGTTCCAGGTAGTTTCCTTTTTAAGCAGGTGTAAGAGTGGTTTAGTTATTTCTGCATAGTTATCTATAAACTTACGGGAGTAGTTAGTCATACCAAGGAACGATCTTAATTCCCTGATGTTTGAAGGTGTTTTAGCCTTAATTACAGCTTCAACCTTCTTCATCTGGGGATTTAATCCTTCAGAAGTTACCTCATGTCCGAGGAAATTGACATGGGTGCGACACCATTGTGCCTTTTGTAAGGATAGTTTAATCCCTGCCTCTCTTAACTGAGTGAGAACATGTCTAATCTCTAAGATATGCTTATCAAAGGAAGTGCTTTTCAGCAAGACATCGTCGACATATGATAACGTTCCTCTCTCGAGTGCGTCAGGCATAGCTTTATGCATGAACACAGCGAATTCATGACCAGAGTTTATATAACCGAAAGGCATACGGGTCCAGGTATACTGCTGCTTTCCAAATGTGAAGGCCAATTTGTATTGGTCTTCATTATGGACTGGTACAGTCCAATATCCCTGCGCACAGTTAATGGCAGTGAATATTTTGGATCCCTGCATTTGTACCAAACATTGGTCTATGTATGGCGTTGGCCAACCAGACCTATAGACGCGTTTATTTAGCTGTCGTAAGTCAGCGCATAAACGCCATTGTCCATTAGGTTTCAGAATCCCCAAGATCGGATTATTTTACGAACTGTGCACCAGACGTATAATGCCCCTTTCCTTTAAATTCTGAATGATGTCTTGTAGGCCATCATATGACGCTAATGGGAGTCTATATTGTTTGATAAATACAGGTGGTAAATTTGGATCAGTTTGTATTCTGGCTACGTGGAGGTTAGTTAACCCACAGTCGTAGGAATCTTTGGCAAAAATATCTTGGAATTCCAAAAGGATTTCCTTTAGCTGTTGCCGCTCAGCATCGTTGGAGCAACCGTCAGCTAAAGATATTTGCTCTTCTAGCCTTTCCTGAAATCCTGGAAAGATTTCAGGCTGGCCTATCTCATAAGCTTCTTCAAGCCTAGAAGTTAGGTCAGTTCGGTGTTGACTTACCTTTTCTCTTTGGTCGTGATACTCTTGTGATTCCTGCTCATTGAGCGGATGATCGAAGGTGATAGATGCTTCTTCGATTTTACACGAGCCTTCTTCAACGTTGAAGGGATACACAGATAGGATAGTGAATAATCCTTCTGGGGAGGAATGGAATATTTTATCGACAATTTCGTCCTCAGTTAAGTATTCTTCAGGGATGAGGCCTATAATTTGGTTTTGGAAACCAAATGTATAGTATTCAGCATCCAATGCTAGACCTAATAATGTTCCTTTTGATAAAGTAACACTATTGGGTGTAACATTGTTGAGCATGATATAGGTGGGATCCTTACCAATACTTACCATTGGTGTATGTGTTACCACCATCCCTAATTGTTGTATCCTGTTGGATAAACAGATTAGGGCATCAGAGTTTTCCAATCTCTGACCCTCCTTGACCTGTAGGGGTAAAAGAAAGTTACTTGTCCCTTGGGGAATGGTTATGTCATCAGGTACTTGGATACTTACCGCATATGGGAGTATTTGTCCTGATTTCAGGGCGTTTTCCTCGTGTAGGTATCCACAAGGATTACCTTTTAACCTTGTCCACAAGTTGGAATTAATCAGGTCAAGGTGTATGGCAAAGCGATGTATGACATCATTGCCAACGTAAACCTGATAGCGAGGTTCGTCTATCACTAGGAATAAATGTTTGACTGTCTTATTTCCGATGGAAATAGATAATAAACATTTTGCTATCACATTGTGACTCTCTGATTCGCCATCCAGATTCTGGATCCACCTGTTATGTGGGGAAGCGTACCTGATCATTTTAGGATTAGCGATCTGCTTTAACAGACTTCTGCTAATATAGCTGTTCTCACTCTTTAAGTCCAGCTTTGCATTCCTACTTCTCCCTAAGTCATTTATTTGAATAGGAAAGAATAAGTTGTTTCAACCCTTTCAATTCTGGCAAGGAATTGAGCATGACCTGCCAGATCTACAGATTCAACATAGTCCCTGTGGAGAGAAATGGTTAAAACATCACCTTCCAGAGAGACGTTCTGGATCCTCTCTGGAGCAATTCTTACGGAATGCTCATCTACAGGTGCAATTGCATCATTCA